AACAACCCTTGCTAAACAACCCTCCCTAATCAACCCTCGCTAAACAACCCTCACTAAACAACCCCCAGTAAACAACCCTCACTAAACAACCCCCGCTAAACAACCCTCGCTAAACAACCCTCCCTAATCAACCCTCACTAAACAACCCTCACTAAACAACCCCCACTAAACAACCCTCACTAAACAACCCCCACTAAACAACCCCCACTAAACACCCTGACTAAACAACCCTCACTAAACAACCCTCCCTAATCAACCCCCACTAAACAAACCTCACTAAACAACCCTCACTAAACAACCCCCACTAAACAACCCTCACTAAACAACCCTCCCTAATCAACCTTCGCTAAACAACCCCCACTAAACAACCCTCACTAAACAACCCTGACTAAACAACCCCCACTAAACAACCCTGACTAAACAGCCCCCACTAAACAACCCTCACTAAACAACCCCCGCTAAACAACCCTCGCTAAACCACCCTCACTAAACAACCCCCACTAAACAACCCCGACTAAACATCCCCCACTAAACAACCCCGACTAAACAGCCCCCACTAAACAACCCCCACTAAACAACCCCCACTAAACACCCTGACTAAACAACCCTCACTAAACAACCCTCCCTAATCAACCCTCGCTAAACAACCCTCGCTAAACAACCCTCACTAAACAACCCCCACTAAACAACCCTCGCTAAACCACCCCCAGTAAACAACACCCACTAAACAACCCTCGCTAAACAACCCTCGCTAAACAACCCCCGCTAAACAACCCTCGCTAAACAACCCCGACTAAACAACCCTCACTAAACAACCCCCACTAAACAACCCCCACTAAACAACCCTCTCTAAACAACCCCCGCTAAACAACCCCCACTAAACAACCGTCGCTAAACAACCCCCACTAAACAACCCTCGCCAAACAACCCCCACTGAACAACCCTCTCTAAACAACCCCCGCTAAACAACTCCCGCTAAACAACCGTCGCTAAACAACCCTCCCTAATCAACCCCCACTAAACAACCCCCACTAAACAACCCTCGCTAAACAACCCTCACTAAACAACCCCCACTAAACAACCCTCGCTAAACAACCCTCCCTAATCAACCCTCGCTAAACACCCTCCGCTAAACACCCTGACTAAACAACCCTCACTAAACAACCCTCACTAAACAACCCTCCCTAATCAACCCTCGCTAAACAGCCTCCGCTAAACACCCTGACTAAACAACCCTCACTAAACAACCCTCACTAAACAACCCTCCCTAATCAACCCTCGCTAAACACCCTCCGCTAAACACCCTGACTAAACAACCCCCACTAAACAACCCTCCCTAATCAACCCTCGCTAAACAGCCTCCGCTAAACAACCCCCACTAAACAACCCTGACTAAACAGCCCTGACTAAACAACCCTCACTAAACAACCCTGACTAAACAACCCCCACTAAACAACCCCCGCTAAACAACCCTCACTAAACAACCCTCACTAAACAACCCCCACTAAACAACCCTCACTAACCAACCCCCAGTAAACAACCCTCACTAAACAACCCCCACTAAACAACCCCCACTAAACAACCCCCACTAAACAACCCTCACTAAACAACCCCCGCTAAACAACCCCCACTAAACAACCCTCACTAAACAACCCTCACTAAACAACCCCCACTAAACAACCCTCACTAACCAACCCCCACTAAACAACCCCGACTAAACAACCCTCACTAACCAACCCTCACTAAACAACCCCCACTAAACAACCCCCACTAAACAACCCTCACTAAACAACCCCCAGTAAACAACCCCCGCTAAACAACCCTCGCTAAACAACCTTCGCTAAACAACCCTCACTAAACAACCCCCGCTAAACAACCCTCGCTAAACAACCCCCGCTAAACAACCCCCACTAAACAATCCTCACTAAACAACCCTGACTAAACAACCCTCACTAAACAACCCTCACTAAACAACCCCCACTAAACAACCTCCACTAAACAACCCTGACTAAACAACCCCCACTAAACAACCCCCACTAAACAACCCCCACTAAACACCCTGACTAAACAACCCCCAGTAAACAACCCTCCCTAATCAACCCTCACTAAACAACCCTCACTAAACAACCCCCACTAAACAACCCTCACTAAACAACCCTCACTAAACAACCCCCACTAAACAACCTCCACTAAACAACCCTGACTAAACAACCCTGACTAAACACCCTGACTAAACAACCCCCACTAAACAACCCTCACTAAACAACCCTCACTAAACAGCCCCCACTAAACAACCCCCACTAAACAACCCTGACTAAACAGCCCCCACTAAACAACCCTCACTAAACAACCATCACTAAACAACCCTCCCTAATCAACCCCCACTAAACAACCCTCACTAAACAACCCCCACTAAACAATCCCCACTAAACAACCCCGACTAAACAGGCCCCACTAAACAACCCCCACTAAACAACCCTCACTAAACAACCCTCCCTAATCAACCCTCGCTAAACAGCCCCCACTAAACAACCCCCACTAAACAACCCTCACTAAACAACCCCCACTAAACAACCCCCACTAAACCGCCCTCACTAAACAACCCCCACTAAACAACCCCCACTAAACAACCCCCACTAAACAACCCTGACTAAACAGCCCCCACTAAACAACCCTCACTAAACAACCCCCACTAAACAACCCTCACTAAACAACCCCCACTAAACAACCCTCACTAAACAACCCCCACTAAACAACCCCCACTAAACACCCTGACTAAACAACCCCCACAAAACAACCCTCCCTAATCAACCCTCGCTAAACCACCCCCGCTAAACAACCTTTGCTAAACAACCCCCACTAAACAACCCTCGCTAAACAACCCCCACTAAACAACCCCGACTAAACAACCCTCACTAACCAACCCCCACTAAACAACCCTCACTAAACAACCCTCACTAACAACCCTCACTAAACAACCCCCACTAAACAACCCTCACTAACCAACCCCCACTAAACAACCCTCACTAAACAACCCTCACTAAACAACCCCCACTAAACAACCCTCACTAACCAACCCCCACTAAACAACCCAGACTAAACAACCCTCACTAACCAACCCTCACTAAACAACCCTCACTAAACAACCCCCACTAAACAACCCTCCCTAATCAACCCTCGCTAAACAACCCTCACTAAACAACCCCCACTAAACAACCCTCCCTAATCAACCCTCACTAAACAACCCCCACTAAACAACCCCCACTAAACAACCCTCACTAACCAACCCCCACTAAACAACCCCGAATAAACAACCCTCACTAACCAACCCTCACTAAACAACCCCCACTAAACAACCCTCACTAAACAACCCTCACTAAACAACCCCCACTAAACAACCCTCACTAAACAACCCTCACTAAACAACCCCCAGGAAACAACCCCCGCTAAACAACCCCCGCTAAACAACCCTCACTAAACAACCCTCACTAAACAACCCCCACTAAACAACCCTCACTAAACAACCCCGTAAACAACCCTCACTAAACAACCCCCACTAAACAACCCCCACTAAACAACCCCCACTAAACAACCCCTCACTAAACAACCCCCACTAAACAACCCTCACTAACCAACCCCCACTAAACAACCCTCACTAAACAACCCTCACTAAACAACCCCCGCTAAACAACCCCCGCTAAACAACCCTCGCTAAACAACCCTCGCTAAACAACCCTCGCTAAACAACCCCCGCTAAACAACCCTCACTAAACAACCCTGACTAAACAACCCCCACTAAACAACCCTCGCTAAACAACCCCCACTAAACAACCGTTGCTAAAAATCAACACCCAGTTTATTCCACGACTGCAGTCGATGGGAAAAGCTGGAAAGCTGAACTCCGGCCGTAGTTCCGATCAACACTGCAGTCTACCAAATGCTGCCGCTTGTGGCTCCGTTGGAAACAAAGGAATATTGGTTTGCTGTCGTCCTTCTACAGCACACATGAACACAGCGGCACTGCTACAGTTAGAGTCCTAGAACTCAGTCAGGATTGTTGCTGTACTGTCTCAGAAAAGCTATCATATATGATTCCATACATTATCAGCTTTCAGCTAAAACGTGAGACACTATCACTGAAGACGTCCTGCAGTGTTCACATCGCCTAGATCAGCTCTCTGACGGAACATAGTGACTGAACGATCGATCAGGAATTACAGATTCATCTCCCTGATTACGGATTTGCTCCAGTATTCCTGTATTTGGGATGTAGGTCCTATTTTAAGGGGTTTATCTGAGTTTATCTGTGTTGTTCAGGAAGTGGGGGCCGGTGAGGACCTTCACTCTCTGATTAGTCTGATTGCAGATGTTTTTGTTGATCCTCTAAACTGCTTTCCGTCCTCCCTGAGTGTTATTAATGACGGAGAACGTCCGCCCCACTCGGCAGATCGTGAGGAGGTATAAAACTTCCATGACCTCAGTTAACAAACACGATCCGTTTTTAAGAATCACTGCAGGTTAAAACACACTGAAGAGTCAGTTTGACAAGTATTAAACTGTGCTGACTCTTTATTCAACCATCTAGTATTAACTGAAAACCAAGTATTTAATATTTATTTAAATAAATGACTGTTTACCGGTCAGATGACTTATTTTAAGACACTGATCATACAGTTATCAGAATCACTAAAATTAGAAATGGTTTGATTTTTGGAGTTTTTATTGCAGTATATCATTAAAACTGTTAACTGTCTCGTCCACAGCTGGAGAAAAGGTCAACACCGCTGAGAATATACTGACGAAAACAAGATGATCATCAGAGAACAGAAACACCAACAACCCTTACACTCACAGTATTGAGAAACATATTAAATATATGATCAAAGCCTAAAAACGTTTTTTGTCGATATATATTTTTCATCATTTGAGCTCAGCAGCCGCCCTTTACATTGTGTACCAACTTCATGATGAACGGACCAATAGAAACGCTCCAAACTCACCTGGAATAAAAGCTGTTACACTGACTTACATTAAACGTAGATAACACTTCTCCCTCTCCTGTGAAGTTACCGTTCAGGAGTTAGTCAGTCTGGTGTTGGACAGCAGTGATGTGAAGTGTTTTCTATGCGTCTGTTTGCAGCACTGAAACGGCGAAAATACAGCAAAACAGCCAAAAACCCACAAAGTGCTCCGATGATTAAAGTCAGTCGAACATAAAGAGCAGCTGCAGGTCAGAGATCAGTCTGATCTGCGTTCCTCTGGAAGCAGAACTGACATAAAGCTGAATATTTACCTTCAGACAAACTGCAGAGCTGCTCCTAACTCGCCGTCCCCATCGCAGAGTGACCGCTGACCACTCAGACCTCCCTTATAGAGGGAGAGAGAGAGAGAGAGTGAGAGAGAGAGGGCCTGAGGGGAGCTGACAGATTTTCCCATCATGCACTTAGTCACCTCTCCTCTTTTTTCAGAATGTGACATTTAATGAGGATCATGTTCTGATTGTTCTCCTCAGAAACATCAGTGACCCTCACAAACACCAGCGTCCCAATGTTTACTATCACATCCATATTGAAGAATAATTAATAGACTGTAAATGTATTTTAGATGTTTTTATTCAACATATCGAGTGTTTTAGACAGGTGAAGGAGCTGAATGATCAATAATCTTCTGTGATTGTGTATTTACGGTCTGAGATCTGATCACTGCTGCTGAAATCCGAGTCATTCTGAGTGTTAAATCTATCATAACCTCGTTCTGGATGTTCTAGCGTTCTCAGTCCCTTCACCATTACACGTAATTTCAAAATCCCATTAAAGCACTTTAAACTCAGCAACACTGTAGAAGATATGAACATGTAAAAATCAGAACCGTCATGAAAAATACATAAATAAAAGTATCATCGCTGTCCAAAGAAAAACATTTACAAATTAGTGACTTTACAGGAGACGGCAAAACAGTCAAGGTTTAATGTAGCACCAAAATGGGTTCTGCTACTATTACATGCTTGACATTGTAACAGTAGTAGAACCCTTTTTGGTGCTATATAGAACCATGTACAGCACATTCTCCATCAATCTGAAGAACCATTTCACCAGGCAAAGAACCATTTAAGCATGCAGTTGGTTCTTTGAGTGTTTATGGTTCTATATAGAACCACTGTCTTTACTAAAGAACCCTTGAAGATCCGTCTTTTTAAGGAGTGAAGAAAAAAATGAATAAAAATGAAGATACATGTTTTTCTTTGGACAGTGATGACATAAAAAATAATAATAAAAATAAAACAACAGAAAAACAGTCAAAAAAATTACAACTTAACCAAAAACCTGAAGTAAAAGAAAAGTCTGAGAATAACTGCAGTGTTATGATTGTTATAATATCTGAGTTATTTTGTTTTTTCTGTTAATGATCAGAGAAACAGATCTTTACTCCTTCATGCCGTAGAGCTCTGCCTGATATATTAAAGAGCCATTATGATGGAAAACTGAATCTTCCTGGCTTTCTTTGAAATAAAAGAGTTTGATATGATATGTAAACAATATTAAAGTGCCAAGAAGACATCTACACTCTCTGTAGAGTCCATGTATGGAAACTAAACTGTAAAAAACAGATATATACATTCAGCCTACAGCAGTTTTAATGTAATATTATTAATTAATTAATGATTTATTCAGTAATTTATTATTCTTATGAATTATAAGTATAAAGTATAATATAATGTTCATGTGTAAATAATTATGACATCGTAAGTGAAGTGAAAGAGAAGGAAGATATAGACTCTGAGCTCTTTAAAGTCAGGTTTGCTGTGGTGTCCAGTTTAACGTTGCAGTGATTTTAAGCGTCTCTGCTCTGGAGTGATTGTTTAACTGGCTTCACTCTCAGATTCTTCCTCTGGTGAAAACCTGTTGAGACCGTTTCTGGTTGTGATGAACTGCTGCAGCGTTCAGCTCTGAGAGGAACCGAGCGTTTATAATGAGCGTAAAATCTCAGAGCCAAAGAACTCAGAACCGGCTCGATCCAAACGGAGGCCTGTCAGTCACTGCGCGTTCCAGAGTTTACACTGTAGAGAAGAACACAGTGCTCTACTGTCCTGTTCAGCATACGCACTATATACAACATAGACATATTACGGCAGTAAGGAACCCCTTAAATGACCAGGGCCAAAGTTTTATTACATATTTCTATGATGTAAGAACAGCTCAACCAGCTTGTATTGTGGTCACTGAATAATAAGGTTTAGTGTGTAATAATCCTCGGGTTTTAAGGGGTTAATAACAAACACTTCTCCATTACAGCAGCATCAACGTTTCTCTGGCTTTAATGTGTTTGTTACTGACAGAGCGTCGGCACAGCGGTTAATTCAATCAGCCTTTAAGGTGGAAATGTTAATGTTCATGACTGCAATCAGACGTTATTAGAACGATCTGTTACATCACAAACGGCTCAGATAGAGACAACAAGAGCCAGTATTTGATTAGGAATTAATTAATAGATATTAGTCTATCAGTGATGAGTCAGTGTAGTTAGAATTAACCCCTAAATGACCAGGAGGCACCAGCAGGTCCTGAATAAAAAGCTTTATGATGTAATTCTAATATTAATACTAATACTTATAGTAATTCTATAGTAATAATAATAATACTCCTGGGATTTAAAGGGTTAAAGAGCAGGCGGGTCTGATCACATCAGCTCGCCTTTCAGAGCTCCAGAAGGGACTAAATGTGTTTTTAATGGACAGCTTTATTACGCTGCCTGTGTGTATGTGCTGTTCATTTATCCTGTAAACTCTCCTGAGGGACGTCTCAGTTTAGACTGGACCGCACTGGACTGGACTGGACTGTGAGAATGAGAGTGATTTCCAAATCTGTCATTCGGAGATTCCGCTTTTATTACACATAATGGTCCAAATCCCAGAGCTGTCGTTTGTGCGGAGTTATACTTTATAAAACAGTCCAAAATTGGCACCAGCTGAGTCAACACAGCTTCCAAAACCCAAACTGACCCGAGTCTCCGTGGAGACCGGGAAAGCGCTTCGAGATGGGGGTGCTGAAACTTTTAGCAGCATGAGTGTGATGTCATGCTAAATACTGTGTTTTTATTTTTTCCTTTTCCGTTTGAGTTGTTTGGAGGGAGAGACATCTACAATTTACACAGATGAGCTGAGTGTCAGCCAATCACATAGCTGATGCAAGACGGCAGCAGTCAGACAGACAGGTGGCGCTGGGAGCGATTCAGTTCACTCTGAAATGCAGCATTATGACTGAGAGAGATGAGGTGCTATAAACTGATCTTCTGAAAGATCATCTTGTTTATTTCCTCATTTTGTCGTCTCAGAACCTCATGGTGATGTTCTTTTCCACAGTCTGTTCTGCAGAGATCCTCCTCCTCGTGTTCACCTCCCTCTGGATATGGAGCAGAAACCATACCCTCAGAGTTTACAGCGTGAGTGAGACTTCAGTCTAACCTGGTTAATTATATGAGTCAAATACATCCTGGAGAACATCAGCCGTCCCGATCTCTCCCACAGACCCTCAGTGTTCCTCTACAGCGGGTCATCAGTACATTTAACCCGAGGCTGAATTCTCTTCAGGAAAGCTCAGATCTGTACTCACTATCCAGGAAGCTAGAGGCCTGTTTTTTGAGTCCCGCTCCCGCCCGCCCGCTCCCACAAGATTTCATCCCGCTCCCGCAGAAGACTAGAATAATTTGTCCCACAGTTCCGTCAAGGTGAACTGGAATCCGATATCTGACAGTCTATTCACAGATACATTATTCTCTGCTGAAATAACAGGTCAGTCGTGGTCATCAGGCTCACTGTGAGTAACTTCACCAAACGCCATTTACTCACCATTTAAACAGAAAACAGGATTTAAACCACAGAGCGGTTATTGTTGGTGTTTTGCTGGGCAGCTGTGGCCGTCAGACTGAAGACTCCGCCGTCTATCTACCGCCTGATCCACACATGCTGCCTCTGCATGGCGGGAGTGAAGCAGCAGTGCGAGCGCTGCAGCTCGGACACACTGGCCTTTCATACATACAGCGTTTGAGCTGCGAGAGAGTTATACAGACATTCCTGTTTCCAGACGGATAAAAGGTCTCATCAGTCACTCTGATCAACAAAAATATCATTTATAAAAGTACACTGTATGTTTGTTTGTCCTGGACAGTATTCTGACTTCTGATTAGGCAAAAGTTTCAAGCCTGTAGACCAACCAGGAAATCTGTCTGCAGCACGGTCATGAATTACATAAAAATCACCTTTTAAAGTTTTTATACAGTCTTCTGATTAATTTTCATTGATTTTCATGGCTTATTTCAGCGTAATTCACTGCGTGATTCGTGCAGTGCATGAACAAATCGGCTCCTGGTCTATTTTCTAAACACCGCAGCGCTTCAGTGCGGCGCCTGGGACTGTGTGAAAGTGCTGACCACCGAAATGAAATGTAAGACTTTCCACATCGAGTCAGTCCTGGGTAATTGTGGAATCCTGTGAAGTATATTAATGAAGGTTAGTGTGCGGTAGAGTCAGTGTTGGGTATGTGTGGTATATTAATGATGATTAGTGTGTGGTAGAGTCAGTGTTGGGCGACTGTGGTACATTAATGATTATTAGTGTGTGGTAGAGTCAGTGTTGGGTAAGTGTGGTATCTTGTAAAGTATATTGATGATGGCGAGTGTGCGGTAGAGTCAGTGTTGGGTAAGTGTGGTATCTTGTAAAGTATATTGATGATGGCTAGTGTGCGGTAGAGTCAGTGTTGGGTGAGTGTGATGTATTAATGATGATTAGTGTGCGGTAGAGTCAGTGCATATTAATGATGATTAGTGTGCGTCAGAGTCAGTGTTGGGTAAGTGTGGTATCCTGTAAAGTATATTGATGATGGTAAGTGTGCAGTAGAGTCAGTGTTGGGTAAGTGTAGCATCCTGTAAAGTATATTTATGATGGTTAGTGTGTGGTAGAGTCAGTGTCGAATGAGTGTGGTGTATTAATGATAGTGTGCGGTAGAGTCAGTGTTGGGTGAGTGTGGTGTATTAATGATAGTGTGCAGTAGAGTCAGTGTTGGGTGAGTGTGGTGTATTAATGATAGTGTGCGGTAGAGTCAGTGTTGGGTGAGTGTGGTGTATTAATGATAGTGTGCGGTAGAGTCAGTGTTGGGTGAGTGTGGTGTATTAATGATAGTGTGCGGTAGAGTCAGTGTCGGGTGAGTGTGGTGTATCAATGATGGCTAGTGTGCGGTAGAGTCAGTGTTGGGTGAGTGTGGTGTATTAATGATAGTGTGTGGTAGAGTCAGTGTCGAATGAGTGTGGTGTATTAATGATAGTGTGCGGTAGAGTCAG